AAAAAGAAAAAGTCTCGTCGCCTCCTCGCCTATTACAGCCTCATCGTTTACCGTCGTCAGAAGGGGTCTCATCTGCTCGCATCTGTCGTCCTCCTCCATGTCAGCGGCGATCGATCGATCTGTCGGTCGGTCGGTTGGTCGCTCTCCTGCCTCTACCCGAGAGGATTTCAGCACGAAAATACGAATTGCCCCTTTTTACGTGTCGGCGACACCACTGGCCCCGAGTTTTACGGGCATTAGCACAAAGGACGGCCCGCCCCCCGCCGCCCGTGATCGACCCCTCCCGTCGCCAATGAGAGGGCCGCGGCCAGGCCCCGCGGCCAATCAGGGATGCGAGGGGAGGGGGGAGGGGCGTGGCAAGGCCGGTTCGGGGGGGAGGAAGGGGGCGTGGTTTGTGACAAAGAGTAAAAAAAAAAAACAATGAGCTGAACTCAGCGGCGCACGTTTCCCCTGCTCGACAGAAAAGTTGTGACAACTAAGTAGGAAACTACCAGGCGAAGGCATCGGTCCGATATTACATTTTTTGTAAAAGCCGGGCAGAGGGGATGCGCTTCGAAGGTGTTGTTCGCGAAAAAGCAGAGAAGCGTAGATCTGCCTGTGATGTGGGGAACGCATCCCTAAACTTTTAACATCCTTTCGATCTGCGTCAATAGTGAACTGCGTGTCGGTCACTGCGATATTTCCTCTTTATCATCACATTATTATCCGTAAAACATGAAAAGGAAACTAAAAAAAAAACAACTAAACCTCAAGTTTAATTTAGTTTTCTAAACAAATAAAAGGTGCAGTTCTGTAACATAGAACCCCCGAGGAGGAGTAATGACTCAGATGCTTCTCATTACTACTTTCCAGCTTCTGTTGTGCTCATCATCCTGTTTCTTAGTGATCTGGCTTTAGACGAGTGACTTTCGAGTGATAATCTCTGTTCGTCCATCCTCCGAATGGGCATAACTGGGGTTGAGCGCTTTTGGTTTGTTAAGTGGTGTTTTTTCTAAAAAAAAAAAAAATCCTGAGCAAACAGAAACATGTCAGTCCCCTGTTCTCGTTTTTTGAATGTGTTGATTTTTTTCCAGCTCGTCACCTACTCTCTCAGTCAGGCCCCATCACCCTGTGATGGTCGTGTCACTGTGAACAGAGGTCTGGCCCTTTACAGATCTTTACAGAAATCAGGTAAGCAGTCAAGCAACATTTTCAAACGGTTTATTACGACTGAAAGAAAACACATGTATGAGATGTTTGGGATCTTGGCTCAGCTAGCCAGACACGAGATAGATCCATCATCAGGGATGATTCAGAGAGGTGCTGACAAGTCCTAAAACTGTTTTGAAAGATATTTCCATTTGACTTCCGTATTTAAAATACAGAAGAGTACAGGTAAGCTTTGCATGTAGAAGTCCATGACCATGTCTTCAGAAGTGTTTGGAAAAATGAATTCTTGTCTAATTTATGACCTTATGTGTCACTTCTACAGGGCCAGTGCAGTAGTCATGTGCATTGCCTTTAAATGTTGCATGCCTTGTGACTTTCAATCCAGGATTCTCTGTATAAATCTTTTCTTCATAAAGTCTTCTTGTTTGCTTCGCATGTCAGTCTTTCTGAGCAGCTTTTATAAGAATAGACATGCTAAAGGACAGCCCAAGGCTTGCAGTGTTAGCAGCACGTTGATGAGAGGAATCCAGTCATCACAGCAGTACTTGTATTCTCAAGACTACAGATTGAGACCTCACACAAGAACTTCTATTTAACATTATGAGAGATCTGCCAGCTTTAGTGTAACAAAACCCCAAGCAGTCCAGAATATTTGCACTTTGTTCAATGAAGTTTCCGTGTTTTTCTTTTTTTGGAAACAAAAGAACAGTTTTAAAAGATGTAGTTGTGTAACTTTTAAAGCCATGCTTCTTACAAACCTGCTTAGATCCTTTTACTTTAGGACATAGGTTTTGAGAAAAAATACGATGTTGTTTATATACTGTTTCAACAGTGAACAAATGATATCTCTGAATAACGGTTTAACATTTCTACGTGACTGAAGTACACCGATATTTTCCGATTCACAACGTAATCTCTGTTTGCATTACAGCGCAACCTGAAGGGATGCTTTAGTTACCTCCTGCTCCCTGGATAGCAGTAAGATGGAGACCTCTGAGTGCAACCATACTGTTACTCTAAGCTGGGGGACCTGAATGTAGAACTCCTCCCTCTAGACCAGACGCTCCAAACCAATGTCCAGGCGTGGTGACCGTGGACACTGTGCTATTGGAGCTGTGACCTTCTCATGATGGATCCCATGTTTTTCACAAGAGCTGGGGTGTTAACTCTGGAATCCAGGCTAAGTTCCACTGTGGTCTTGCGCCGGAATGACCAGATATTCCCAGTAAAGCTGCTGGTGAAATCGTCCCTCTTTCTCCCCCAGTCAATCTGCTGCGCAGTGGTTCTGCTGGTTCACAATGTCTGCTGTGTGTCACCCACACAGCTGGAGTGGGACTTTCCCTTTTGTGATCCTTAGGGATGAAAAGTGTTAATATCTAGAAAGCATATGAATGATTTACTAGCTCCAAGCAAGGACAACCCCTGAGCAATGTGGAACTTTGCACTTCATCAGCTCCCTTTGATAGCTTTGGCGCATCCCAGACATGTCTTAAAATAACAACATGGTGTTATACATATCTCTTCCTTTCAAGGATGCAAGATCTGGGAGCTCCAACATCACTTAAATAGTGAGTCGACAATGTGCTCCTCTCTGCTGACATCGCCATTGTACCTTTGACTCCGAGGACAAGATATCTGTCGGCATCCTATAGGGCTAACATTTCCTGATCACAGTGGAGGCAACAGAAATATTATTAAGAAAACTTTGTAGATATCATGCATATCTGTATATGTTCAAATGTTTAGCTTCAAGCATCCAGTGTGAGAAGCAATCGTGCTTAACGTAATTTTAGAAGGAAAATGTAGAATATTAATCACAAATTTTCATTAAAGCATTCACTTCTGAACTTCTTTAGAGTGTCACTGCCTGTGGTTATTTGTCACGTGTGAAATGAATCGATGAGAAAGTGCTACCGATTTCATAAGTGTGTTTTAATGTCTTTTATACCGCTTAAAATAAAACAGGACACTCTTAAGTAAAATAATGTTCTTGTATGAAACTGACCTGGAGAAACATGGAGAATATTTTGTAATCCAGGTCCTTCTGACACATAAAGGTCTGATTCCATTCCTCTAATGCTGGAATGGGTATGAGAAATGAGAACACAAGTTCCAGGACTTGATGTTCTGTATCTGGCACAGTAAGTGGGTTTTCTGTGCTCTTCTACATTTGTTATCGACAGATTTGTATGTTTAAATTGGCTGTGGAAGCACTATAAATGGTAATAACTTTCGTTTGTTGTTAGTGAAAGGAGCTTATCAAGATTAACTGATTTATGTTCCTTTATAATTTGCAGTCCTGGTCTATGCTACCTTCAGGTAATCCAGAAGATTAGTTCAATAATTCACATGCCTTTTTGTTTTATGATGAAGAGTTTGAATCTTCTTAAAATTCACACAGGATTTGCTTAGAATGAAATAATCCCTGAAAGGTATTTCCTTTTCTTCTAGTGTGCAAACTTTATTATGAAATATTTTTACATAGCAACAAGTAATGAAGTTCCCCCAACACAGTACTGTATCTAACAACATTGCATGTTATAAAACAAAAGCTTAAAATTATTTCATTCTTCTCTTGAGAAGAAGAAATGTAATGGAAATCGGACAGCAAAACATTTTCGCGTGTAACCATTGGTATAACCAATTCTGAAAATATTGCTCTTAGAGTACTCTTTGTTTTGAAAATACGCAACACAAAGAGATTGTTTTGTTCTCAGGGTTAACAGAAACAAAAGGCCTGAGCTATATTTGCTGTTCAAAACTTGATTCCATCATTCTCAAAAACCCATGACCGTAGGCTGACTTTCTGCCTGAATATCTTCAGTCATTTGAAATGACTTTATTAGCATACTGGGATGGTAAAGTGGTCAGTATTCTTGCTCACAGTCCTGGGGTCCTGGATTCAATTCAGGACAATTCTATTGTGGGGGCGGTGCGCCTGGGCTGGAAGGCTGCCGGTTCGTATCCCGCGGCCAGCAGAGGAATCCTACTCCGTTGGGCCCCTGAGCAAGGACCCCTAACCCCAACTGCTCCAGGGGCGCCGCATAAATGGCTGACCCTGCGCTCTGACCCCAAGCTGCACTCCCTGTCTTTGTGTCTCGAAATGTGAAAAGACAAAATTTCAAATCCAAGAAATTGTATCTGACCAATAAAGTGATCTTATCATTCTGGACCTGGAGTGCTATCTGTTTGAATGTTCTCCTGCTTCCAAGTGTGTCTGTGTCAGTGTGTGCCCTGTGGTGGACTGGTGTCCTGTGAAGAGGGTGCCCCACATTGCGCACAGTGCCTGCTGGGATAGGCTCCACCTCCCCCTCAACCCTGAATTCGATGAAGTGGTGAGCAAATTCTTATTTCTAGATGTCTTCCTTCCTGACATTCATTCTGGAAAAGTTACTAATGCAGTATCCATCGTGGTTCGTAGGCTAGGTCGAATCATGCTATAGGCCTTCGTCAAACAAAAACAAAAGTGCTGGAAAGGGTTACTAAGCATCAACAGTGTACAAGTGCTGGCTTCTTAAAACCCTTCAGGAATGGCTCCTGGCATCCTGGGACACGTGTGTCAGTAAAACCAGGACAACGCCATGCGAGTGAACTAACGTGACTTATGTCTTTGCCTATAAGACAGTATCACGCATTAAAAGGCCACAGTTGTTCATGGACCCACGTCATCCTATACATAGTTTCCATATTCTAATCATCACACATATATTTAATAATGTACAGAAGCCCAGCAGGCATTTCAGATCTGTTGATTATTAAGAGAGAGACCATATGCTTTAAAAGAAGGCACTTCCAATCTGTTTAAAATATATTTTCCATACTGGAGAAAGGAGAAAGAAACTTGGGAGAGAAAAGGGCAGAGTATTTCTTAACAGTGCTGATCTCTTTATGTCTGAAATACAAAGAGCAACCAGGTCATTTCTTTCAGTGTAACAACACACTGATCCTCGATCCTACATTCCAAGCTTTTCATATACTTACCAGTTGCGAGTGATTACAGAGTATTAGAAAGGCTTACCCACTTTCGACACACCTGTAAGCCTGTGCAGGTTTGATAACTAGGGTGTATGTGTTTTGCCACACACCTGCCACGTACCTGTATTCACTCTAGCGTGAA